TTTATTTATTACATCTATTTATTGTGTGTGTGTGTGGCCAGCTCAGCCCACCAGGGGGCGGGGCTGGCTGGCATGTGGTGCTGGAGGATTGAACCGCGGTCCCTGTGCTTTACCAAGCTTGTTTCAAGTAGGTGCTTTAGACCACTGAGCCATCTCTCCAGCCCTGGTTTGAATTATTAAATGTCTAATTAACTTAATTAAGCAGCTACAACACTCTATCGGCCTTTAGGATATTTAGGGTATAATGGACACCACTGTACTAACTTCAAAATAGTAATTTATAATGAAGGAAAGAATTAGTAAGGAAATGTTTTCTCAAATACTTCCTTGCCATTAGTTTTACTTCATCACATGTTCTGTGTTAGTAAACTTTATAAAATCCAACTGTATTAGTGTTCTCTAGTTTTCCTTTACCCTTCAGCATAGTGTCAAATGCCCCAAATTACAAATAAAATCCTCTGGAAGTTGATTTACAATTTCTAGTGGTCTTTTTTTTTTTTTAAATGTATTTAGTATGGGGCCACTAAACAGCTCAGACTCACAGTCATCCTCCTGTTTTCAGCCTCCCAAGTGCTGGGATTACAGGCATGTACCACCATGCCCAGCCTCAACAGCCTTCTCAGTGTGCTCCATGGCAGGCATCAAACCCCAGTCCCTGTGTCTGCATAAGCAGGAGCTTTAATCCACTGAGCTATCTGGCTGGACCTCTAGCAATCTTTGCAAGAAGAGTTTACTCCAGTTTAGACTCACAGTTGCTTCTTTCTATTATCAATTTGCATGTTCTTTATCTTTGCTCAAATAGTTCAGTTGGAAACCACCTTCCCTTACTGGTTCAGCCCATGATGTTCATCTTACTTATTAATTCTCTCTTTTCACGTATCTATTCTGTTAAGCTTTATATCTACATGGCCCCTCAAAGTGATATCCACTTACAGTAGGGGATTCATGGAGGTAACTGGGTCACGGGAGTGTGAAATTCATCTGTAGATTAATCCACCTATAAGTTTATAGCAATATGTAATGTTGGGAGGTAAAGCCTGGCTAGATGAGATGGGATACTAGGGTCATAGCCTGAATGGTCTCTCTCCCTCTCTTCTCCCCAGTCTCTCTCTGCTGCCTACTGCCATACCATGAACTGCTTCTCATCACCTATGCCCTTTGCCATGCTATCCTGACTTAGTGCCAGCCAACTATGGACTGAAACCTTTACAAACTGTGAGCTAAAATAAACCACTCATCCTTACAGATGTGTCAGGTTTTGTGTCTCAACAATGAGATAGGAAGTCCCTTTTTTGTTCATATAATCCTGGACACACATCTGCAGAGTGTCTACTGAAAACATTTCTGTATTTCAAAACATTCTAAAATATAATAAAGATTGTCCTAAAATGAGGGATATTCTCAGTGTAACTTTCATTTTGGTAGTCTTGGGACCTAGCACATTCTTTACATTTAATAGCTCCTTATTAAAATGAAGACTGAATGGGGGAAGAATGGTATACTTTCCTAATGAAAGTATGCTACGGTGAAGAAAAACTTATAAAGACTCTCCCAGAAAGAAAGACATAGAGAGAAGAAAAAAAAGAGCAAAGAAAGGAGCTTAGATTGTATATTTCAGTTAATTTTTCTGCTTCTTTTAAAATTATAACATCAAGTATATTTCTAATACCAACTAACACTAATTTACTTTAGAACAAAATACACCAAACTATTTCATATAGATTAATGCAAAATTACAATAGCAATGGTAAAATACAATCCCAAATAATATAAATATGGCCACAACAATTCTCATTACTGTCCTTTACAATCTATATGACTGCAGTCTCAGTCTCTGTGAATATCAATTTCTTCACCTGAAAGTCAACTGCTATAATTATAGTTAATATCCTGGTAAAATCTCACTTAAGTATTCTAGAAAGTCCAATCACCTATTCTGCTGTTACTTTTGATTTATGCCTTTTTAAATAAAAGCACATCTGAATCTTCTGCAGTAAGCATCCCATTCCCAGGACTAGGCATTTAATGCATGCATATTAAATAAATCTAAAAATGTAGAAGAAACACAGAAATTGCAAAAATAAAAATAATATTGACCAATGTCGGTGAGAACATAACTGCATAACTACTCCTGCTAATGTATTTTACACCAAATTTGTACAGAAATTATTCTCAAAAATAAAGAAACTATGTTGAGCTGCAATTTTTGATAAATAAAATAAAGGAATACCTGTGATTAAAAGGAGTTGCATGGTACAATTAGAAATTCTGGTAAACCCATAAAAAAAGGTCCAATCAAAAGGGATGTGGAATTCCACCAAATAACTGAGAAAATCTCTTATCATTCAGAGAAAAACAAGTCTCTAACCTGTTGTATATGTCTGCTTGTTCGTTTGAGAGGCTGGTAGATGAGCCATGTGTATATGATTGGGTCAATATTAATGGCGAATCCTTGCACACTGCAAAGAAGTACTGCACCTGCAAAGTAAGATTAATAATGGTAAAAATCCCTCATTGAGATAATATGGTTGATATCATTTTATAAGTAGGACAGTTATTTTAAAAAAGACAGTAAGAATAAAATAAGACTAATAAGTGGCAAGATATAGATGAAGTCAAACCCTCACACAACAGATGCTAAAACAGCAAAACGGTGCAGCTCTCTGTACAGTAGCATGGTATTGAAAGAAAAAAAAAACATAATTACCTAGTAAATCTCTTATTAGGTACAAACCAAGGAGAATGGAAAATACATGTCTACACAAAAATTTCTGCTCAATATTTCATATCAGTATAAATTAATAGCTCTAAAAAGATGAAAACAAATGTTCATGAATAAATCATTTTTTCAATATGGTATACACGTGAAGTGGAAGATAATACATCAAAAAAGAAACAAAGTACTCATACATGCTACAGAATACATGGTGAAAACAAACAGTTTGCAGGCTCACTTGCTCGCAATCTCAATCTCTCTCTGCCTCTCGCATGCTCTGTCTCAGTCTCTGTCTGTCTCTGTCTCTGTCTCTCTCTCTCTCTCTCACACACACACACACACACAGAGATATATTGTATTATTCCAATTATGAGAAATGGCAAGAAAAGGTTAAAATACAGAGGCAAAAACTAGCTTACTGGTCCCTAGCTGGTAGGGAGAGGGGAAGTGGAAATAATTACACGGTTACATGATTTTCGACAATGATGAAAATATTCTCTAATTAGAAAATGGCAATGGCTATACAATTTCATGAATTAAATCATTTTTTGGTATACAAAAGTTGTTCATTCTGGATCTTACCTCCTGCAGATATCAAAACCTGCAGACACTAAAGTCTCTTACATAAAATAACAACAGTATTTTCATATAACCTAGTCACATAATACTGTGAACTTTCATTCATCTAAGTTAATTATATCAACTACAATATAAACATAAATAATTGTCATAACAATTTATTGACTAATGATAGTAAAAACTGTGTACATGCTCACTACAGAGAATTTTTTTCAAATATTTTCATTACATAGTTGGTTGAATCTGTGAGCGTAAAACCCACAAATAAAAAGGTCAATTGTATGCTAAAACTCATCATATAATAAAACAAATGATTTTTATGGAATGCAAATTAAAGTTTATTATAATTGTATTATCTATAAGAATAACAACAACAAAAACAACAAAAAAAGATTGGGCATGGTGGCATATGCCCGTAATCACAACACTAGGGAGGCTGAAAACAGGAGGATCATTATGAGTCTGAGCACTAAATAAAAAAATAAATAAAACAACAATTCTAACTTTCATGAAAAAGCATATTTTACATTGGCCTTAAGAGTAAAAGTATTATTTATCTTTGTTTATATGATAAGCCTAAATCATTGTTGGAAAAAATCATTACCATTCAATTTGTAATTATAAATTATATATTTTAATATCTTTAATATAAGAAAGAGCATGGCTACCCTGCACCGGCAGGACCTACTGCTCCCAGCTCAGGTGCATCATGGGTGAGACCCCTTTACCCCCTTGGGACACCCGCCATAACTCAGTAGTACCCCCGCACACCCCACCCACAGAGTAGGAAATTCTACCCCATTCCGGGAACCCCCAGATCCAGTCATGGTCCAGGCCCAGTGAGTGTGGGGGAGAGCTGCATCTCCCCCCTATTCCACCGTGTCCCCTCCAGACTTAGCTCAGGCCTGCCATACAGGCCTGGGGTGAAACCATGCAGGTGCAATCCCTGCAGACAGTGTACGGGACAGAACCACCCAGCTAGTCCAGGAGCAGAACATCTTGCCAGAGGGGCACAACTAGTTCACCCCCCCAAGGGCAACAACAGGAAGGAGCTGAGCACAGCAGCCAGATCCAACCCAGGGACAGCTGGATAAATCCAAACTTTGTACATCTGTGTACGTGCTAAGGTTATCACTGCAACAAAGATCTACAACAAAGGTCAGAAGACAGTGCTACACAAAATGACAAGAAGAACAAAATGCAATCTCAGAACCCAAGCTCACACATAACAAGTGCAGAGGACACTAACACAGAACAAAGTGGGATTCACACAGCTGAAAGCAATGAATCAACAACTTCTGAAATAAAGAAAGAGCTGCAGAAAGGTATAGAGGAACTCAGATTGGAAATGAAAACAGAAATCCCTGAATTAATAACATCTGCAGTAAAGAATCAAATGCAGAAACATATGGAGGAAACACAATGCCCACCTAGAACAAATACAGAGGACACTAGCTCAGATCAAATGTATGAATGAATAGCCTCAATAGTAGATAAGCAACAGCAGAAAGTCATAGAGGAACTCATAGCAGAATTCTTTTCTACTAGCTCAGCTCAAATGTATGAATCAATAGTGTCAATAGTAAATAAGCAACAGCAGAATGTTATAGAGGTACTCAGAGTGGAATTATTTTCTGAAATAAAAAAAGAATTCTCAGAACTCACAGCATCTGAAGTAAGGAATCAACTACAGAAATCTAGGGAGGAAACCCAATCTGAAAATCACGCTGCAGTAAAAGAATTTATAACTGCTTCTAAAGAAGACATTGATTAAAAAAAAAAATAGAGGAGATTAGAAAAATGACGGATTTCTTGAATGAGCAATACAGGAAAGAAATAGATCGCATGAAGCAGAGTCAAAGAGATATAGAGGAAATTAAAATCTCAATCACAAG